TTGGGGTGGTGGTACTCTCTCTGACTTTCAGTATTTAAACTAGAATGTAGTAACTCCTTAAGGGTAACACAGCTACTTCACCATATGCCATGTTTCCTTCTGACTCCTTAGCGCATATTGACATCAGCAAATAGGAAGTGTTTTTTCAAAGTGACTAATTCAGTTGGATTGTAAAAAACTTTTTTTTTTTTTTAGGTTCAAGCAACAGTAGTTGGTTTTCTAGCAGCTGTAGCAGCAATTATATTGGGCTGGATTCCAGAGGGAAAATACTACCTTGATCATTCCATACTTCTGTGCTCAAGCAGTGTAGCAACTGCCTTCATCGCGTCTCTTCTGCAGGGTAAGGACCTTGATGAGTGTCTGTCCAGCCTCCTACTATCAAATGATTTATATTCCATCTTGACTATTTTTATTGGAATGATATGTGTTCATTATAAGAAAAACGGAAACATGTCGTCTATAAATTTTTTAAATGTCTTATTCTCGATACATTTATTGTCTATAAACCTTAGTGTAGAACAGACATTCTGAGATTTTTTTCTTACCTGTGGTGTTCTGAGCCAAGTCCCAAATAAGCCTAGATATGGATTTGTTTCTGGAAGTTCGACTAATTGAGAAAACACCTTTCTAGAAATGATGTGTGAAGGATTTACTGATTTGTCATTTGAGCAACAAGTATTCCAGGAATCCTGACTTTCAAAAACAGTCCTTCTGTTGAAATTTTTGGAATTTCAGATTTCAACGATATTTCCTCACTGTTTCTGTGGCACTGAGATGCAGCCACAGGCTGAACATAGCATTTTGTTGGCTGTAGACTTTGAAAGCATCAGAAGATTTTCCAGCCATATTTAGAATTTTCAGTTGGGATGTCACTTTTATTAATATGAACTTTACACTAGAGAACTAGCTAAATATGGAACCATGATCATAAAGACTTGATCTTTTTATAATTGTTGCCACCTCACCTGTGTCACCAGCAAAGGTCAAAAGTGGAAGATTCTCATATCAGGAATCATGACAAGCAAAAAAGCTAACTTTCATTGCTAGTTTCTGGCAATTTAGAGAATCTTATTAATGCTAACATGGTCCTCCTTGGTGGCACAGCAGGCCAAAGTGCAGCACTGTTAAGCTGGCCATGACCACTTCTGTGCAATTTCAGTCCCCGCCCTGGAGGTGACCCACACGGCACGGCAGACCTCTCCTGACCCACCCGCTGCTCCCCTCAGCAGTGTACTTCATCAGTCGGCCTGTTCTGCTCCCCACTCTGACTCTGGTGAATCTTCTCATCACCCCTGTACATCTGTCACGTACTCCCCTGTATCCCAGTTCTGTATGCATAAATAAATAAATCTTTAAAAAATAAAAAAGCTAATATTATCATTTTCTTCCCATTTCTATGGTTCAAAAGAATAAGGATTTCAAAGTACAAGTACAGTCACATTTTCATCTTCTTTCTCTAGTTGTAAACTTGTAGACAGAAACTCGGGGTGAAAGGATAGTCTTTCCAGTCTTACTGTGATCTGGCCTCCAATATTCAACATCTGATTACTCTCTTCCTCTTAATACTTCAACGCTTGTAAATCATGAAAATCAAGCACCTACACTGGTTACCACGACACACCACCAGCCTATTTCTTGGTTGTCTTCCTAATTACTACCATATTAGCATCACCCACCTTCCTTTGCTTGAAAGTTACTTCAATGCTTTATTTGAATGTTAAAGTAAAATCTTTTGGTTTGATCTACACAAGCATATTACTTCTAAGATATACATGTTACTGAATTTGAAACTTCAGCTTTAATATTATCTTGCAGTTGCACGCAACACTGAATTTCTTCAACCTTCTATGATTATGGAATTTGTTGAAGGCATTCTGCCACAGCATTCGAGTAAAATGCTTTATTTGGTTTCGTCAGCTTACCTTTGTAGGCCCACTGAGACTGTTAAGCTGCTTGTATAGACTGTATATTTTGTTACTAGGGGTATTGATTTTCTTTAAATCATAACATAAAAGTAATGAGCTCTTGTTATTGTAGGAATTATAATGGTTGGGGTTATCGTCGGCTCGAAGAAGACAGGTATAAATCCTGATAACGTTGCTACACCCATTGCTGCTAGTTTCGGCGACCTTATAACTCTTGCCATATTAGCGTGGATAAGTCAGGGTTTGTACTCCTGCCTCGGTAAGTTGACTTGAAACGAAATAAAGTGTGTTGTTCTGAGTGTCTTCATGTGACTGTCACCATGGTGATGACTTCCTGGTGGCTTCGTCCATGTTGGGTCTGTGAGGGAGCGCTGAGCACGCTAACTGCGGCTGGCCTTACACAGACCTTGCGTGTGATGCTCACCTGGCTTTTTTCTTCACTTATTTTCTCTCCTTACAAAGCTTAAAGCTCTGTAAGGAACGGATTATCATCTTTAATTTTAGATGAGAAAACTGAGACTTATAATCTCAGTATTGGATATATAACTACTTGTTGGAAGATTGAAGACAGGTCACTATATTCTATAAATCCTGCCTTTTCCCCTCAATGTGAGGCTGGCAAGGGAGCCCACTGGCAACATCCTGTTGCTGCACTGCTCTGCTCTCCTGTCCCAGGACACAAGGTTATGGCCGTGCCTGAAATCCATGGCTCCCTCCTCCCCCACCACCAGCAGAAACCAACATGGCAATTAATAAAAAGAAAAAATAATCACCATGAGGTTAGCCCCTATGCTGTGTGAAGTTGGGATCATCTTGTGTGTGTGATTCCTGATACAGGGATAGAGTATTCAGTCTAAGAATTGTTTTAGGCAGAATACTCAAAACATCACTAGCATAAATGGATATGCTTTTGAGCATTGATTTGTGCTATAAGAGGTTGTGGGTTATTTAGTTTTAATGCCAAATTAAGAAAATGAAGAGGTAAAATCCCAGTAATATGAGAAAAGATACTTTTAAGTCTAAGCCCAAAGCAAATGTATGTTCATATGTCTTCATATAATTTCATGGATATTATGAAAATTTGTAAAATACCTTAAAATAAATCAAAAGTGCATTCATTTTGAGGAAGGGGCTCAGGTCCATGTTTTGAACTAAATCAAGGACTTTAGCAACAAGGCGATCATTTTCAACTACTTATGGATATAGCAAAAGAAGCTTCATTTGGTATATCAAGTTACCTTAAGTTATCTCATCAATGGCATAAAAAATATTTACTTTGGCGTGTGTGTGTCCAGAGAAAAGTCTTATTTAGCAGATGAGATATATGCACGCGAAGTGAGGTCAAAGATGATAACTGATCAATGGCATAAATTAAGACCTTGGTTTTCACTGTTGTGGAATAGTTGAAAAATGTTCAAGTACAGTCAGTTTCTTTCTCTCCCTCCCCCAATCTCCAGAAAAAAGGCACAAAGAATGAATCCTGTTATGAAATTAACCTGCTCTAACTTCTACCATTGTGACAACTGGTCAGACTCTCTGCCTCTGAGCTATTTTCCCATGTTCGAAATTGATTCCGGTTGAGGTTGAAACAGTAGCGTACGGCTAGAATGACACTTGCCTGTCACAGGCAGACACCTGGGCAGCTTGCAGGCCTCATCAGCTCGGGAACAGACTGCTGTTTCCCAGGCAGGGCAGGCAGATGAGGACTTAGCCATGCAATAGGGCCTCCCACTTTGAGAAGGAGCTAGAAGAGTGGACGGGCGGCGTGGAGGAGGGAGAAGGCCTTCCCCGGTGGTACTGGGAGGCCAGAAGATCAGCGTCCTGCCAGGATATTGATGGGGGTGGTAGGGTGGAGACTAAGTATTTGTTCAGGGATGGGCTACCCTGTATTTAAAAAACAAGTATTTATTTTCATACTTGAATCTTTAAGTCACCATTAAGTCATTTGTAGCACATTTCTCAGGTGCTAGGTGATACCAGACTATCTCATCAGTTGAAGTGGTAAGAAAATGAGAGAATGTACCAAAAAATGTTGTAATAAATATGACAACCATCACAGTGATACAGGATAATTAGTTAATTCCAGAAGGGAATTTAGTTTCCAGGGAAAATGACGGGTGCCAGCTTTTAAAATTTCATTTAAAAAAATTACGTGAGCCATTAACTGTCCTCATAAAGACTTAACCATAATGTAGTATATAAAATTTTCAGTGTATCGCATGTTCTAGATGATATGTCAGTACTTGAACTGGTTTAGGAAATTAAAATATGAAATCGAATGATACCACCACAGGTCACAATTTGAAAAAATATAATTTTATTATAAATTACTATTTTGCCTTGTCTCTTGAAAATTAAAAGTAATTCAAGATAAATAAAATAGGCTATTTTATGTTTTACATGTATCACATGTTTCCCTAAAATGGAGTATTTATTTATTTATTTTTTAAAAATAGGCTACCATTTGTTTCCACCAATGATTCAACAGGTAAAGGTGTTTCTGTAATCAGTGTTTGGGTCTCTTCTGTGAACACTAGGGGTCCTCAGAAGATCAGCAACTGTAAGCCTAGTGCAACCGATTCTGAAAAAAGATTAAGAACAGGCACATTAAAATCCCCTTCATCCTGCTGAGATGCCTATTTCTTGGAAGCAAAGTTGAATTCCTTAACACCTAACAGTCTGAGAGCTTATATAGAGGATTTCATGGCATCTTGAGATTGGTTATAAATAGAGGCCTTGTTATTACATGCCCACAAAAAAAGTGGATGTTAACTGTTCACCTAGAGTTTTAACACTTGGAACGGATCTTAAATCGCTCCCTTCGTGTCTTGTCAGTTTTGGTGCATGTGCTGAGAACTTGCTCTCTATTCATATTCAGTGTGCTACATTTCTTTTAACATTGATAAAATTGCTCATTTCTGATACCTGACAAATATGGAATTTCCTTTTTCATTTCTCTCCATATTAAAAAAAAAAAAGTCCAAAGTTTTGTTTATTCCTGTTGATGTCATACTCATAGTTGCTTCGTGAAAGTTAGTGTGCAGGTACCTGGAGTCTGCAGAAATTTAGTTCTCGAAGTCTTACCTGTTCTGACCGTTCTTGTCCCTTTTATTCCAGCCAACTCTGCCATGATCTGATTCTCATACATGCCTGCGATTTGCTTCTATTTTTCTTAGGTCATCGCCCACCCATCCGTGAAGACTGGAGTCCTCATTTCTCAGTGCTGAGGTCATAGGGCCCCCTCATATTGGGTGATGCTTTTCTCCCCTGAATCCATAGAGCACTTCATGGACCCTCCTATGATGACACACTTTACCTTAGACTACATTGATCATTATAACTTTTCATGGACTGTAGTGTAGTATGTTCCCTTATGATGGTTTAACTTTCTTGAGGACAAGCTGTGTTTTTATTTCATTTATGCTTTCTGTAGCATTCCGTAGTGCCATATATATATATATGGGATGATAAATAAACAGGATGTACCAGATGCTTTGTTCTTTTCCAAAGCTACCCAGTTAATGGGAGTAGAAGTTATTTAGGAAGAAGATCCTGTATCATGTCCATCCAAATGATTTTGCAGTAGAGTCTCTCAATAACTTAATAAATCGTAGCCAAAAAGAAAAAAGGACCCTTTCGATGATGACATAGTATCAGGGACATATTGGAAGGGTATCTTGGTTAGTAGAAAATGTCTGGACATTAGTTTACTGTAGCAAAATAAAAATGGCAACTTGTCACTAGAAAAGCTCTATTTTAAGTACAATTATAAGAAGAAATAAAAGTCAATGACTTGTGGAGAAAATATGAAGGCATTTATGCAGTTTGTACATAATTTTTAAACAGATAATCTTCGAAGGCTATTAAGAAATCCAAGGTTGGGCCAGTAACTGAAGTATCTGTACATAATGATTCTTGTCCTTTCTCTTGTTTGCACATTTTAAGAGAATTTTAAAAACTTTTTCACCTGTTTATTACTGTATGGCTATGTAATTCTGGTATTATGTGATGTTTATTGATTTGAAAAATTACCAGCTTAATTTTTTTGGAGACAGGATCTGAGAAAAAAAAATATTGGTCGATTTCTCATTCTTCAAGGTTAACTTTAAAAAGATGTCTTAGTTGAAGTTATAAGAACAATAACAACCAAGCTCAGGTTATTTTGGTCCTGTGGAGACTAACAGAGATGATAACTAGTTATGCCCAGGGCATTCTAAATATTACTGCCTTGATGTGTGATGCGAGCGGAATCTAAATTTATCTTTCCTATCACTCTTCAGAGATTTTTGGCAATGTACTATCTGAGTTGAGAGTGATTCCTAGGTCTATATAGTGGGAAAATCTGATGATTATTATGATGGGGGTTTTAAAAATTGTTTACTTAATGCCCACTGCTTTGTTCACACAGAATAAACAAATGTAAAAATGCCACTCATAACAACTACAAATTTCAGTATTTAGGGTAAGACTAATGAATGCTATTAATGAAATTACTTAACAGTAGTTACAAAATGTCTCCAACAATCTAATGAGAAGTAAAAGCTTTGACTGAAACAGGGAGCAGTTCTGTTCAGAGGTGAAGTTCACTCTTAGCAATTTGAAAACATGTGTCCATAGTTTACTATTCGGTAGTTTCCCCACACATGAATTATTAGTGCACATGGACATTTGCTGGCATTAAATTCCAAGTTGCTGTGGGCACACCTGTTTTAATAGCCTATCACTACTGGAATACACTAGCACACGCCTGCTGTTGCAGTGAAACACAGAAATTAGTTTTCTTACCGTTGTAGAGGCAAAAGTCCAAACTGAGTCTCACAGGGCTAAAATCAAGGTGTCGGCAGGACTGATTTCTTCTAGGAGCACAAGGGAAAGTCAGTTCCTTGCTTGTCCTATCATCTGGTGGCTGTTAACTGCTCATACTTTGCCTCTATGGTCACACTGCTCTCTCTTGTCGTCAGGTCTCTTACCTACCGTCAGGTCTCTTACCTACCGTCTGTCAGTACACCTGTGGTTACATGGAGGCTCATCCAAATAATCTAGACGATCTCCCCATTGGAGAATCTTGACCTAAACACACCTGCAAACCCTTTGCCATCTCAGCTATATTCACAGCTTCTGGAGTTAGGAGGTAGATGTCTTTGAGGGCCATTCTTTAGTTTACCATAGTGATGTACCCAGAAATTTATACCATCTTTAGTGATAAGTATGATCTTTAAATGTCATTAGAAAGCACATTTCAGATTTTATTCAGAAGTCATATGCATCATGTCTATAAAGCAAGACAAGTCAGCTTCAAGGCTCATGAACCTTCCTCAGTTCTCCATAGAAAAGCCTGCTGAAGGAGTATAATGGACCAGGCGAGAAAATAACAAAAATAATGAACAACCATACACCAGAGACATTCTGTGGGGGTGGAGTGGGGAATGGGATAAAAAATGCACAGGATTATGGTGGTGGCACAGGGGTGATTTGGTGATGGGAAACCCGCGGGGATTACAATCGAGATGGAAAAAAATAATGTGCAAAATGATGTAAAAATAAACTTTGTAATAAATAAAAAAAAAGAAAGAAAAGCTTGCTGAAAAGGGGACAAAGATGAATTCTTGTCATCAAGCACGGCAATCACCCCAGGGCCCTGGGACACTGCCACCCAGTTTGTCCCCAATGGTGAGGTGTGAATAATAGTAGCAGTGATGATGATGCTGATGAAACATTTTCAAAAAATGTTAGCTACCTACCTGAGCACTATTCCAGTTAACGTAAGTGTATTCTCCAAAGCCAGTACCCCAATAAAGTAGCTACTATTATTACCATCTTATAGATGAGGAAATTCATCTACTAACTTCAGTTGTGATGTGAAACTGGTTAGTGTTACCAGGTGGTGGTTAATAAATGTACTGTGATACACTATAGCACATTAGAAGGTCTGACTAGTGCTGCAGTGAAGTGATCTGTTTAACTGTATTAAGCCACTTTTTAAATTTTATTTTGGAACTGGAACACTACTTAGCTTGGAGAGGCTATTGATCATTAACTTACTGCCCAATATTCTGTGGAATGCTTGTACTGTTGGAGTCTTATAGGTGAAAATAAAAGGCTACTTGGCTTCATGGTTTAGACCACAAACCATGGTGTCAGCCAGATGTCATTTTCCTCAACTTTTGCTATTCCCTACTTGTATCTGTAAGCACCCAAGCCTCAGTCCCTTCATAAACTAAAAATAACATAGTTGTGAGGACAATTAAATGAAAAGATGACTATATAGCATTTAATATTTGGTAAGCAGAGGAATATTAACTTTCTTCTTCTTATTGCTGTTCCCACCTAGGTATGTAACTACTTCAGTAGATATTTTTCAAATGAGTGTATTTGGTTTTAATTATGTTATTTAATATATTTATCTTATTTATACCTTTAAAATTGTTTGAAATTTATAGAAAATGCACAGCATGTGAATGTTTGATAGCATCATAGCCTCTGGTAAAATTTTAGTGTTTCCATTTGTTACATGATTAGAAGAAAGATTGAAATGTCTCTTTTTTAATTTTAGAGACCTACTACTATATTTCTCCACTGGTTGGTGTCTTTTTCTTGGCTCTGACTCCTATCTGGATTATCATAGCCGCCAAACACCCGGCCACAAGGACAGTTCTCCACTCGGGCTGGGAGCCGGTCATAACAGCGATGGTTATAAGTAGGTTAGTAGTCAAGTGTGTGTGCTCTTGCGCATGTATGTGTACATGCACTAAAACAAATTGCCTATTTTTACTTCCAGAATTGGGCCTTTTATACAGTCAGCTCTTTATTATCCCAGGTAATAGGGGAATAAGTGACAGAAGTCACTGAAAGCAGTAGGTGTGCAGAACCTCATTTGGCTACCAGTTTCAGACTTTTCTCCAACCAAACCTTTACAGATCAATAAGTAAATTTAGTGGTTTGTTCTTGTATGTGTGTGTTTTAAACTAACAAAGATATTACGTATTTTGAATAGCATGTGCTCAGGTAAGTACTAAAAAGCTTTAAAAGTGCATGTGTCATTTGACTACTGCTACTTTGAGGATTCTTGATATAATTAAGGATAGATGCAAATGATTTAGTTTCAAGGATCCCATTATAGCACAAGTTTTAATAACAGAAAAAAGAACACTGTAGCAGTCTAGCAGTCAACTGTTGGTCAGGGAAGCTGTAACACAGTCATGCTTTGCTGAAGGACATTTTGGTCAATGGGGGCCATGCAGTGGTTGTGTCACCAGGCTTCCTTTTGGGGTCTGGGGGTGCCGTGGGCTGTGCTGTCTTGGTTTGTGGAAGTAGACTCTGTAGAGTTTGTATGATGATACATGGCCCGGTGATGCTTTCTCAGCCATGTCTCCATTACTCTGGTATTGCCAGCTGCAAAAGCTCACACAGTAACATTTCTATTGACATAGAAAGTTGTCCACTATACATTTAGTGAAAAGAGCAAGCTAGAAAAGAGTATGAATTTCCTGTTAAATGTGGTTGAGGACACATTTATTTTCTTCCTGAAACTACTCACATTACAATAAAAGAGTGAAAAAGGTCTAAAACCACAAAGACAGGCAATCAGAGAAGACAGCAGGTGAGAGATTCAACATAATTAGCAAGACAGGGGTCACATAGTTGGGGTGAACTGAATTAGCAGAATGAAAAAAGGGGACACATCAGCAATAAGTTGATCTGAGCCTCAGAAACCCAGGATGGTAGAGGAGTGAGAGCCCCTCACTCCTGGAAGCTGAAATGAGGACAGACTGCAAGTTTGTGTAAGGAACACTGAGGTCCTAAAGCTTGCCCACCCAAAGGAAGACAAGAATTAACTCCAGAGGGGCCTGGATTAAGGAACACCTGTGTAAGTGAGGACGTGGAGTAGACACCGCAGGAAAGACAGACTATTAAGTGAAACTCTGCATGCTACATAGGGTTTCGCATTCCCTTTTCTTTGTTCACAGGATGCTGGTAGCAGCTTTATGTCCAAGGCAGAAAACTAAAAAATTTCTTTCCAGGAAGACTCATCAGCACAAAGGAAAAAGCATGCAAACACTAATCCTTGCGTGTCCTTTAGTGAGCAAGCAACATGCCTCCCCTGAGCCCGCTTACAGCCTTGCCATGTATATGGAGAGCTCTCAGTATGCCTTGCAGCCCCCTACCTTACCCAAGAGAAAAGTCCCAGTGTTTTCACTCTTGAAATAGTGACGGACCATCAGATATTTGATAAGTCTTATAACATGAAGGATAGAGATCCTTCTGCCCCCAAAAATGGTGTTCAGAGAGAGTGCAGGGACAGTTGAAAAAAAAATACTTAAAAAATGTCATTATTATATTCATAGAACTAACAGAAGCTGTGGTAGCTTAATATAAGTGCAAAATGCACTAATAAGTAGGAATGGAAGAACAGATGTAGCTCTTTCTTTGTCTCTTTGTGTTCTTGGTGAGGAGGGAAGGAGAGAGTGAGTGACAGATTCCAAGAGAGCTTCTAAGGATTTAAAAATATATCAATGGGGGCCCTCCCTAGTGGTACAGCAGGTTAAAGCACAGCACTAAGAAGCTAAAGCCGCTTTTGCATGAGTTCGATACCTGCCTGCCCCAGAGGTGACCACATGGTGTGGCAGACCTCTCCTGACCC